CATCCGTGTACTGTAGATCGGAGAACTTCGCAGTAGCACAGCGAAAGTCTCGTACAAGCTTCGGCATGGTCGTTTGGAGTGGACAAATTCAATGTGCCAATTGCCAATTGCATACAATTCACATCTAAAGTCACGCCACGTTGACTCAAGAAGGGTTAGCTGGTCGGCTGGGGCAAGAAAAGACAGAGGCGAGGCTCGGCGGTGGCGGCCTAAAACGAACATAGACATCGACTCAGTGTCAGGGTCCAGTGGTCGGCAGGGGCGGGCAAGTCTAGCGAGTCGGCACCCGGCCCAAGTGCGGTGAATTGCCCGAAAGCAGGGCTCAGTTGGACGGTCCTGGACCAGCCAACTATTTGTCGCGCCAACCGGATCTGGTGCCTATAGGTAAAGGGAATAACAATTGAGAAGCTGCAGTGGGCCTTCCTCGGAATTTGCTAGTCTTTGACAGTGCCATCGCAGAACCGGTGTTGGCACGAAATATTAAGGATTCGTGGAAGACTAGGAATGCTCCTCAACCAAGGGTTCCTTTCAAGCTCATCAGCCTTTGTGGGGTGCAGTTCTCAGCTCTTGCAAGCATTGCCAAGCCTTCCTGTTTTGGCCCAGTTGGAAGGCTCAGTGACCAAAACATCCCGTGCAGCGATGTGAAGAGATGTTGAGTAGGATGCCTTCACAAAAGGTAAACTGAAAGGGTCGCAAAGGTTTCTTGAAAGACTTCGCAGACATGTCTTGCGTGCAAGCTTGCGGAAGCGATGCCAGCAGAGGTTCCTTTTCTCGGAACGATGCACATGTAAGTAAAACATCCTACGGTTCATGGAAAGCAACTCTGTCCGTGAAGGTGTGCGAAAGCCACAAAGCAAGCCGCGCAAGTGTTGCGTGTGGTACGAAAGACGTGTAGACATGAAGAAGAGCCCAGTAGATCAAATCCTGGATAGGTTTTTGAACAATACCCAGTTGGGTTTCTACTATCTAGCTAGCAGGCAATAGCACCACATTTTGGACACTCCAGGTGGGGGCACTCCCATGTTTTGCGCCTATGAAGCCACAAGGATCCCTTCGAGAAGCACTTCTACTGCGTGCTAGCAAGAGCTGACGAGGATTTGTCAAGCAAGTGGATACTGTCGACCAATTGCTTTAAAGATTTGTGCCTACTAAGTGCATTAGTTTTTTCCCATCTGTACCCTCAGGCTTGGTAATCCGTAATAATACACATGTGTTTAGCCGGAGCGAACCCGCGCGAGGTGCTCCTGCCCTTTGGGTGTTTGTAGTGAGTGCAGGCGCAAGATGGTAAGGATGCGGGAAACATGGGAGTGGTACTGGATCATCGTCGCAGAGTAAGTTCTGCTTTACTCCACAGGAAGCTGAGCAACAGTGCTTCTATGTGTTTGACTTCCACGTCAGGTGCACTTTCTCTGAGTGAAAAAGCCGCTGGTAATTCCAGGGCAAATCACACTAACACAGCAAATGGCAGAATCCTCCAAAAACGGTCGCTCTGGCCGTTGGCACAGAAGTCGGCCCGTTTTCATCCAGGCTTTTTGTTAATGTAGTGCAGGGCTTCATTGCCAAATTGACAAGGGTCCAGGCTCCATGTTAGTGAAACAAAAATGTGCTGCTTCGGAGTGCATCCGCTTGGTTCACCAATTTTAGAACACAGCAGTGCTCGTGTTGCATCATAGGCACCCCAGTCGGGGCAGTCTCATTCTTGCCTTTGAATACACCACGATCATGTCCAACTCTTCAAGAATCGCTTCTGGCAAGTGTGAGCAGGTGGTGATGAGGATTTCTTTAAAGAACGTGAGTAGACGTTGCTGAACCCTTCGGAAGATCCCATGTGCATGTTCAAGTGCATCGTGGATCCGCTACAAGCTATGCAACAATGAAAAGCACATTGCCAAAGCCTAGCAAGCCTTACAATGCCCTAGCGAGGTGCTCAGTCTACATGTTGGGCGCCCCAAATCTTGCGCCCCAATTCTTGCTTCGTCTTGAATCGTCAGAGTGCGATGGGGCCATGTTGACACAAGCCGTGCTTCGAAGGGCCTCCGGCCTCCGACCTAATTCTGCGAACATGAAAGTTCCCGCGAGTCCAGTTTCTTGAAATTCTGGTTAATGCGTGGCATTTAAAAGCGTCTCCTGGCTGATTTTCTCGTACTGCAGGGTCATCCTTCGGCCATCCTGCATTTGGACGGAACTGGTGCATGGGATTTTTTGTTTTGCGATGTTTTGTAGTCTATAGTCTTTAGCTTCCCATTTTTGTCCGAGTTTTGTGTTGCACCTTCCGGTTGTGCCATCCATGTGCCACTTCACTTGGCAAAGCTCGATTGTGTATAAGCATAGACATGCCATTGGAGTACATGTCCATCCCTTTTTCACGAATACATGTAGTAAATGTGAAACCTAGCGTAATGTAGTAAACCGTTTGTGTCAATATTGAACCATTGTTTGCAGTTGTCTCAGTTGCGCAAGGCCGATTTGATGCTATCCAGACGTGGCAAGTGGGGCTAAGCTTTTGCAAGCCTTACACGAGAACGTCGCACTTCTCAGTGCCCAAGTTGCGGCACACCAGTTAGGCACCCTCATTGCTGGGTCTATGAGAAAGCCACCATCGTGCCACGTGGGAGCGACATTGGCACCTAGAAAACCCAACTGTGCAACAAACAACTCTGTGATGTTTTTCCGGTCGTTTCTGGTAAGAAAGGTCTGCGCAGCCAAGAAAAGGCTTTGTTTGGAAACGAAGGTAGTGGTTGGAAACAGGCCATCATGGGAATGAAGCGGGCATCGATTCCGAATGTTCCACCTCCTAGCATCAGCCATTTGCCCTTCTTCAAAGCGGAGAGGAGACCCTTTTTGGTGTGCAGAATTATGTTAAGGGCAAGCGAAGATCCTGCAACATGTGCTGTGGAGGGTGTGGCATTGTTCAAGCTTGAAAGCATGTGGGATTCCCAACTATTGAGCCAAGCGCAGCTCTTCAGCAGGGGTCCAAGCTTGCACAGGTTGAAGAACACATGCGAGTATGCAAAATGCATCCGAACACCAACCAAAATGTAGTTGTTCAAAAAAATCAGTTGAAGGAAAATGCGGTTTCCTTCTGAAATGACGTGTATTTTGCATACTTCTTGCTCACTAGGCAGATCATGTTGTGTTAATTCTGTCGACATCGAGGAAGTTTCAAGATGAATACATTTGCAGAGAAACCCTGGTGGATTCAATGCCGCTAGCTCTCAGCAGAGATTGGCTTCGGGTCTTTGCGCCTTTCGTTTTCTCTATTGCTTCTCATGCCAGTCCATCTTGGTTAGTGCTTCTGGATGTTGTCCCAACAGGGCATTGCCGACGATCAACTTATGGCTCGATCATGCGTTTCCACACGAGTCGAAACTGAAGAACCCAATAGGTTTTGATGGGACATGCGGGAGCGTCTCCCAAGCATGAAAGATAGAGGAAGCCTTGCAGATGTGACGTGACGCGGTGTTCGGATTGAACATTTAATGGCTTACAAGAAGCCTTGAACTGCGCAAGCCAGGACACAATCAAGAGAGACACGAACATTGCGTCGCCAGTGTGCAAACGGGATGTTTCTCATCTTGCAATACATTCACAACGTGCAATGGTGCTCCAGGCAGAATTCAAGATGCCTTGCGGCCAGTTTGATGTTGAGTAGCAGCCGTGCAGCCCCAGGATCTTCCAACCTCCATCCACATGCTCTCCAGCCATATATCCAGCCTGTATCCAGCCCCTATCCACCAATTGCTGTGGGATGAATTCGCCATTTCCACTCGAGCACAGTGTTTGGGCCGGGCAGAACAGTGTTCTGAAATCAGTTCAGCCGAGGCAGCGATCGAGCGATTGGGATTCAGTTGCCGAAGTTGACCTCCTTGCTCGTCTATTTCGTTCGGTCCAAGGCTGCGATTTCACCGTGAAGATCCCGAAGCGATTGAAGCGATTGCATCGCCGGTTGGCTCGGTGACTTGCCGGTCGCTAGCCTTGCCCGTGAGGCGGCTTGGCACAACCCGCGCAGCCGCATCGAACATCATAGCCCAACGTTTCGGCGTTGGATGTGGCCAGCTGAGCTGTTGTTTTCGGTCCCAGTTCAACATATCATGTCGCAAAGGGTTCCAACAAAGGTGCGTTGATTTCGAGCTTCAGCATATTTCAGATAAAGGGTAATTGATTGTACATCAGTGTGAGCTATGTGCAGCCATTTTTGAGCAGATGGATGTTGGTGTCCGGAGGAATGTCAAATTCTTGCATTACATGTAGCCTGCAAATCTAGCACGCAAGTGCCGCAAGTGCCTCAAAGAAACTAAGAAACCAATTGTGTGAAAAGGCATAGCCCCGTTTTGCCAGAGAAGAGTCGGGAAAGTATATATTGCCACCAATTTGATCTGAAATAGAGCCTGCAAAAGGAAATGCTTCATCATCTTGTCCTGTGCCAAGCCTTTTGCGGAGTTAACAAGGAGATTGCTTGTGAATGGCCCGCCATGTAGAAAAGCGAGACCAACCACTCAGTGATCAGAAGGTGGAAGTTCTCAACTCAGCATCCAGTTTTCTCACCATCAGCTTCTTTATTCTACCCAGCTTTGCTTGGCAGAAGGAAGGCCGAACATTTGGGATGTGTTTGCTGTGTGAAATCATGTTCCTCACAAAGACGCGCGTTGGACATGCAGACGTTGCTCCATCACTCAATGAGCACCTTGGCTGTTCATGTGTTCTTGTACGAAGGGTTTGATTCTTGCATTGTCGGGCAATCTTGCCCACATGTGTAGTCAGTCACAGTTGGACAAGCTGCACAAAAGCCAGTGCTTGCCGAATATGGTCAGCAATCACAATTCACTGTCCCTTCAACCGGTATCAATTGGCCAGACATCGGGTCCGGGCAAGCCGCGGTCCAAGTCCAACTTGGTTTTATTGGATGATGATGGAGCTACAACACAGTAGGTGCTGGTTTGATTGCTTTTGCCTTGGGCTGGCTTTGTGGATGTGTGGAATGCAGCATGAGCCAGAAGCACCTTGCGTTTCTTCAAGTATAGGCATTCTGCTCGATCAAATTGCCACGTAGACGTATACTACTGTCTAGTGACTTAGGCAAATGTGGTTCAACTGACATACCCACACGGCTACCCACAGGGCTAGGTCATTTGCGCTCACACATCGAGCAATACAGGATGTTTGGGTGGGGAAACCTGGTGCCTTAGGTCCTTTGGGCGCCTCCACAATAAAGAAAGCAAAATACATCAAGCATCTTCACTGAACACTGAAAGCCTCATTTTTCCGGGGATTGTGATGGCTGTGGCCTGATGACATAGGACTGACTTCAGAGCAAATGACCATGTTGGTTCAAAATTGATGACATAGGCCTTTGGAATCGCCATATATGTTCGACAAGTCCTAAGTTACTATAGTAAGTAGTGTAGTTCATTGTGCTTCTTGTTGCCTTTTGCCTCGCCACAAAGGAGAGGTGAGGAAACCGTCCTATTGTCAATTTCTTCTCACATTGAAAGAGGGCTTGCCCCAAATCTGAACAATTCAATTCCTCGTTTCGTGTCGTGCACTGTGCTTTTGTTTTTTTGATTGCAGGAATTGGATGGATTCACGTTTGCATTGAATCTTCGGAGGTTGGAAAACTAAAGACTCAGACCAGTTTGTTTGGGTAAAGCCATTCTGTTGTGCTTAGGGCCCATGCCAACCAACGGAAGCATGCATTCCGAATTCCTTATCAATGTGCACCGCGCCGCGTTGCGCAAGTTGAAGCCACTGGGCCAAGGCCAAGACCCACAGTCACTACTTATATACTGTATACATGATTCTGTTTTATGTACGGACCAACCTGTATGGATGGATCTATTCAGCCAGAAGCTGACTCTTTTGCACCAGACCTGCTGTAGGGCCGTAGGAGGACCACTGGTAAGCTAAGCTTGCTATTTTCTGGAGAATTTTCTGGAGCTGCAACCCAGAGAGAAGATTGCAGCAAGCAACATGCACCCTGTTGCAGCAAAGTCTGCATGCTGCTACATGGGCCTATATGGTTTCATTCCCCCGCTTGCATGGCCTGACTGTCTATTCATTGATTTTTGGGCTGGTGTGATTAGTGGTGTCCATAAGAGTGTTTGAGACATCGCTCATACAGCTCATGCAAGTTGCAGAGCATGAAATTCCGTCTCCTAAAGTCTGCCAACCCCAAAATGTGCACGATTCTGCCCACCCACAGCTGGCAAGGACACCTGTTTGGCAGTGCGGTATCTTTGCCACAGCCGCGAATTCAAATGCGTTGTTTGGGTGTCCAAGAGCCATGTGAGCCATGTTTGTTCGCCTGAAGAGAACCGAGCCGTGTTTTCGGTCGCCATGTTTCCCTGACAATGATTTGAGCGTGGACCCTAGAATCCCTAGAAAGGTCTTGTTGCACGGCCTTGTTCTTCTTGGACACGTTGACAACTTGTGGCTCTCCACTTGTCGTGTCCGGCAAGTGTTCAGGGTGGCCGCAACAGTAGTGAGATGCGCAGCAACAGGCCGGAAGGATGTTTGTTCAGACCAGCCCATGTTCAGATACGTTGCATAGGTGCCACGGTTTGTCCTTCGGACGAAGTCATGTTTGAGAGCAAGCTCCTGCTGCATGTGGATGTTCCTAAACTTTGTTGCACCATGAGTCCGGCAGTCCGGCTTTCCGTTTTTGGCCGGCAATGCTGAAGCTATGAAAGTTGGCATGCAATGCAAACCACAATCTCCCAACTCTTCGGAGAGCTGGTGTCCAGGATGGTTTGAGGGAGCTTTGCAACTTGCACATTGCATTTCCAGGGGTTTGAGGACTGCCTGCTGGAAGTGCTGTTACCTTTGCAATAAGTATTGAAGCCTGAGATTGGGCTCGCTGATGTTGGTTGTCTTGCTGCCTGATTAGTCCAAATGTCCGAGAATTTGCATTTGTTGAAGCAGACCTGTTCCCAGTATAGTTCCATTTTTCACATCGTCCGCATAAATGGTGTGATGAATGTTGCTTCAAGTTGGTTCCGGCCCGGCTGAGGCAGAGGCTTTTCACACAAAGGCTTGAAACTTCTTGTGTTTTGCTTTGTGGAAGCGCATTGAAAGCAATGAGTGGAGTTCAGGCTTCATTTTTGCTTGGCACATCGTGCAAATGTGGCTTCAGACGTTATGCAGTGCACAGAAAGTGCGGAAGAACACTTTTTGGTAGGTGTGGGAATGGTAGCTTGGGATGCCTTGGAACATAACTAATCATCAGGTGCTTTCACGCACTAAGTCACTGATTCATAAAAACAAATCCGGATGTGGATCCTGCCAAGCCGCACATTTGTTGATTTGATCGAGCTGGATATGTGATAGAATATGTTCAGAGAAGCGAGATGTAGACCATTTGTGTGACCACGCCTTGCAATAGAAACTTGTAGTGTCAGCGGCACGGGTGGGTTTTGGCTTTGGGAGGGCGTTGCCAATGGAAGTTGCTCCTTGCTTAGCCCCATAGGCCCACAGGTGTAGAACTTCGCTCTCAAAGAAGTGGGACAATGATCAAAAGTGCTGAGTCATTGTCGGACAACTTCTGGCAACCAGTGTCGCTCAACACGGTCAGGGCAATGCAGCAAGGCAGCAAGGAACCAGGGCAACGCATCGGCAAGCGATATTTCTAACCAGTAGAAAGGGCAAAAAGGCCTTTCTCAATGACTTAAGGACTCTGCCCTCCGCCTCCTACAATCATACAATTTTTTGGGGCTTGATGAGGCTGAGGCTGTTGGAAAAAGGCCTGGTGCACAAGCTGATTTCAGATGCTGCCATCATGCGGAGACAAACCCGTAGGGGCACCACTTGCACAGGAATCAAACAATTTTCTTGAGCAAAAGCCGTCGTCGTGGGAAACTCCTTTGACCGTATTTTCCACTTCGGGGCATGCAGCTGTCACTTTTCATCCCTTATATGCCCCCCTCAACTTCTCAACCTTTTGCAAAGGTGCTTAAGCTCAAGCCTTTGACAAGATCAAGTAAATATAATGAACTGTAGCCAGCGGCATCCAGTGGCAACACAATCATTACAAGATCAAGTAAATATAATGAACTGTAGCCAGCGGCATCCAGTGGCAACACAATCATTTTTGAGTTCAAGCTGACCAGCTCCTAGAGGATGCAGCGGTTTGATGCGATTCGTCCGGTGATGGAACTAAAAACAGCTGAACCTATACAGTTTTGCAAGTGTTCACTGTTGGTTTGCACTCGTTGAGCCCTGGCTCAACCTGTGACAGGCGGCGCAAAGCAGGCAAGAGATGCAAGTGTTAAATTTGATGCAAGCAGACAAGGTTTTCCGTAGAAGACCTGGCAACCTTGTGCTCAACAATTAGACACAGCACAAAGGCGCCACAGGATGCAGCACAGGCTGAGTTTTGAAAGGAATTGCTCATTTGACTTCAGAATTAGGCTTCATGGTGCTTTATTCCACGGGCATTGTGGAAGGCTTTGCATTTTGTCCGGTTGGAGCCGAAGCCAGCCCCCAATTTGCGCATCAAACTGCAAAAGCTTTTGCCAGAGTCTTCCGTGCGCTGCGCCGAGCCAGTTGCCAAATTGTGTTTCACCAGCTCCTAGACGTGCAGACAGTCCGTAATTGGGAATTGGGCATCTTACCGGTTGGCAACTAGTAGTAGGTTGCCTGTGGCAATGCAGGGGTCAAGCTGCTCCTCCATCGAATATTCCAAAAGAAGAATGCTGGCGGCAACCAGCAGACATTGCTGATTGCGCGCACGTCAAGACTTACTTTAACAGCCAGGCATTCATAGGCGTTGAATGGTTTATGTCTACTCACATGCGGTTAGTTTAGTCAATGCTCAAGATCTGACATATCTACAGTACCACAGTCACCAAAGCTGTGGACATGTAGGACCATGTCCTTCCTTGAAACTGGCTTGGTGGCAGGACATCAGAGTCCATCCAAAACACCATTTAACCACGTGCTTTGAATCTTGAGCTCTTAGACTCTTAGGTACCTCAGGGCCTCACTCAGCCTCAAATGCTCAGCCTCGGTTTACCTTCTTGAAGACGGTGATTCGGTGTTTTCGAGGACACTCTTGGAACCACGGCACTTTGGACGGCCCAGAACTCCACCTGGCGAGCAAAAAGCCAAAGCGCCCGGAGTGGCCAAAGGCTGCCTGCCAGGCGGTTCCTGGGTGCCGAGAACATGAGTCACCCTGCTGACAGCGGTTGATCCAAGATGCTTTAAGCAAAGGATCGTTGTTAACTTCGCCAAAGAATGATTTTCACTTACAGATGCCATATCTCGAGCGCTGTCCTGGCCTTGGTGCGCTTGGTGCCGGTCCGCCCGAGGTTGTGAAAATGCTGTGATCGGAATCGGCGAAGATGCATTTGCGGGCAGTGTATATGCTTGCCTTCAAGAGCCTTGTAGGGACTACTGTAAGTAGAGCCACTGTGCCGAAACATATGCATAATTACCAGTTTGAGTCCCTTCACGGACAGGAGCAGACAAATGCTAAACTTGGGAGCTTCCTCAAAGCTGCCCAGAGCGCTATTTCGAAGCTTCACTATTTCTCATCCATGCCGTGCTGGCGTGGCTGCCCCCAACCCACCGATTCCAATTCTCAGAAGGAAAAGAACGTCACGGGGGGGGTGCCGTGCGGTCTTCAGTTGAATGACATGATCATGTATGGGAGCCACGGGCTTTGCACTTGCAGGGTGCTCAACAGAGAAAGAACTTTGGCTCCAGTCTTCCAGTATGTTTGCAAATGCGTGGTGCCTTAAATAGGTATTCCAAGGGTTATGTGGGTTACTGGAATATATAACTAAACTTGAATATTTATTTGGGGGACGCCGGGGGGGGTCTGGACCGTTGACAAAGAAGTGGAATAGTTTTTTCAAGAGTAGATATATGATATATAGTTAAAACGAAGATGAAAACCATGAGGATCAAAACAAAGCCCATGGAGAGAGAAAGACAAACATGAAGGGATTTAGAGAATACCTCCCAGAAGCAATGCTAAAACCAGAGTGAATCCAGAGAACAGCGGATGACCTAGGATTTGAACACGAGAAATTTCAGTTTTAGACAACATAGGCAACCAAAGGCAGAAAAGCAAAACAAGAGAAATTAGACAGGCACCCTCATACTGGTGTGCTGGAATTACCTACAATTTATTGCAGATTGTGATGATGGACTTGGAGCACGATCCCACTCTGATGTTCTGGCATTCTATTGGCGAGACATTTCCTGCATAAGTTTTTTTACAGACCCTTATATAACTTTAAGAAGCCAGAACATCTAGCTGACATCTATAGATATATAGGTGTTTTTAGTTGTTTGTTTAACATCTATTGAACAGTATTCCATCGAACGTTGACATACTGGAATACTTTTTGAACATGATGTGGAAGGGGTCGTGAATAATTTCAAGATTATTCTGAGGTATGTTGACATGGGGGTCCCTTTAAAGCACCAGCTATGATTTTAAACATCCATCAATATTTTACTATTTCTGTTATGTGTTATTCATGTTTCTTACTGCAGGCTGTTTCTCTCTTTCCTCTCAGGACATTCTGCAACTTGTGGGCTCATGAGGCCCGCGGCAGGCATGAGACCACAAGCTTTGTGCCCGCGCAGCTTTGCTTGCTCAAGCTGTGTGCTTATCTTGCTGGCCTGACGCATCGTTCTCAGGCAATTCTCAGTGGGGTCGGGGTCATGTGTGGATTGGGTGGGCACTCGCTTGTGGCACCCAAAATCGCCTCAGCTGGAAACTACGAAGCGTTTGTGCACCCCGAAGCGTCTTCCAGAAACATCATTAGCCATGAAGTCCGTTCGCCGATGCGCCGATCCGCCCGCAACATCGGCGAGTTCGCACGCAAAATGCGCCCCTTTGGGCGCGCGGTGGGCAAACGCGAAAATGGCGAACGGCGAACGAAGGTGACATTTGGTGACCATGGAATCGCTATACTAGAAACAAAGGCATCGCTACTAGGAATGGGTTTTGACACGACCCTCCAAGAGTTGACAGGATGGCAGATTTTTGTGTCTCAGCTCTCCGTAGGTTTGTTTGGTGCCACCCAGCACTTCCCATCCTGACCAGGCACACTTTGCACACCGTTTTCTGCGGTGAAAAACCGCCTCAACCACGGCAACGAAGCCTTTGGGAGTCCTTTCGGTGTTTTCTTGGGCTCCTTCAATTCCAAGCTCCGCCCCATAGGAGCTCCTGATATATCAAGGTTCATTGGGTAAAGCCCCCCTTGTGTGTGTGTTTGTGTTTGTGTGTGTGTTTTATTGTTTTGTTGAGTAATTACTGTACATGTACATGTGTTTTCACCCAAGGGCCGGCGTGTGGGCAAATCTGTAGCCCAGATGCTTCAAGGTATTTATCTTGGGTCTGTCCTAGGAAACGCTGTAGCAGTGAGCCACTACATATGTTTGAACAAGGCCTTTATTAACCATCATCATCCATAGGGCCCTGGTCATGAGATAGACTCGGAGAGACCCAATATTCATCCTTCATTTTGGGAGGAAAGTCTTTGGGCTCCCTATCCTGGAAAAGACGCGCCGAATCAGTGCTGCCAGGCACCATGTTCCTGACACTCTTGGCCATGCTGCTGGCGACAGGTGGCGGCAAACGGTTTGACCTGTGCTCCCCTCAGACGGGGTAAAAGACAAAGTTGAAGAACCCAGCGGGCCCCAAGGTGTCAAGGTTTGAAGGTAAAGTCATGCTGGTTCACTTGGGTCACTTCCCAGCCAACACAAAGTGGGAACCTGTTCTGGGGTGATAATCCAACTTCTTCACGCTGGGAAGCAAGCCTGGTAGACACCAGATGTGTAATAAGCAGTCACTGATCCAGGTTACTTGTTGGTTTAGCTTGGCCAATCAAGTTGCAAGGCCAGGTTGGTTGGTGACCACGACAATCAGTCGCCTCTCAGAAAAGACGCTCAAACAAACAAACACACAAACAAAGAAACAAACCATTCGATCAATACTGTAGATGCAACCACATGTACCACATAGTCAAAAACGATCACAAGGAACGAGACACGCACACACACACAACACAAGCAAACACAACGGACAGACAAACAAACAAACAAAACAAAACCCAACAAAAATCAGAAGGTTGCACTACTCGTAGCAAACATACACGAACAAACAATAAGAGCAAACAAGCAGCCGACCGGCACCACACAAGCAAGCACAGCAAAGCAGAGCAGAAGAAATCCAAAACTAAGCAAAGCGAGACATGCAAGCTATTGATTTTGTCGTGAAGTGACTGGCCCCCTGCACTAGCCCTGAACACCCCTGAATATACATAGGTATAAATATATGTATATAGTATATTGTACACATTCTAACCCGTTGGCATAACAATGATTCAGGGATTTGGCCAAAGTAACTTGTTGTCAAGACGTTTGTTCCTGGCAGGCTTTATTCTGCACTTGTGCCCCTTTCCAGTGCTCACAAGTCAGAAAGCATCGACACCCAACATCAACATCCATCAACCGGAATCTTGTGTGGGAGCACGGTCCAAGCGCTTACAGAACCTGCAGGGTCCAAGCGCTTGTCTGTGAAATCACATCGTTGGGGACCGTGGTGAACCCCTCCACGGTCTTCGCCTAACAGGACCTAACAGTAAAGGAGTAAGTTCCCCGTCGGTAAGCACCATAAACAAATTCATAAAATATGATACATTACCCAGACGTTCCACGTAATGTATGTATGTACTGTAAATACGTTTGACACTGACAGTTGTATTTTTTTGGCTGGGGGGGTGCTTATTACATACTTGTAGGGCCTTTGGGCCATTTTTTGATCATTTTTGGGTTTGGTCTGGTGGTCTTCAACTCATAGGATCCACCTCATTGATTGTTCCAGTCTCCGGGACGGAGAGATTTTGTCGGGCTTCCCCTGGCTGGTGACCAGGTTCCTTGATGAACGGGCTCAGAACCCGCTCCCTTTGCTTGCATTCGTTCGATCGATCTCCAGGCTATGCCTCAGCTCCGGAGTGTGCTTTCGATGGCCGCGGCTACACCGAAGCTTCACATAAAACAGCTGAATCCAAGTTGTGGATTCGAGCGAGCTCGGGTTCGATTTCAAGGGTGCATGTTTCACTGTCAGAGGTGGTGACTTGGATAGTGTTGGATTCTTGCCGCTTCATAGATGACTTGATACATGTTTATACATATCCCGGGGATGTGCTTAGGCCACAGCATGAATCAAATAGTTTATTTTAGTGTGTGTGATTTCCCCATGCTTCATTCCCCTGGGTGGAAAACCCGTATATACAGTATATTTATATTATCGTATATAAGTTACTGAAGTCAGACATGATTATATAAACATGTTAAGCCATTGGGTTGAAATCCATGCGGCGCTTAGTATTTCAGTCGTTCAAACATGGATCTTCATTTGCTGCTATGACCAGCACGCGATGAGTGCCGTTAATGACTATTGTGTGCGGGCCATGTCTTGTTTCTTCATGGTTTGTTTCGAACGAGATTTCGTTCGAGTTGGCACGGGTCTTCGGCCACCAATCGGACTGAAGGGCACGGACCAGGACTTCAGCAGAGTCATTCGCACGCCTGTAGCAGCTTCACTCTGCCATGGAGTAAAGGATGGGATCAAAACGGTGGGTTCGTGAGGTGCATGGGTATGCCAAACATTGTTCGCTATCAGGAGAGAGATGGGTGAGAGAAGCAGTACAGATCGAGTGTTGATTAAACACACTTCATATATGAAGAGGTGTTGCAATCCCATACATTCTGTGAATGGCCCCCCGAGCCCTCAGGTCCACTCCGGTGGCACTTACGACGGGTCCACGGTTCCACCGAGGAAATCAGCGTGACATCTCCCAATGGGGGACGACAATTGGACGCGACCTCTTGTCAAAAGGACTGTATTCGGGATGGATGCGCCTTCGCTTGGGGAAGGATGGCAAAGGGAGATTTGATGATAACCAGTTAGACGATGCAAGCACGACTAAGCTGGTGATTTGTCATGGGTTGCATGGATTGGGGTCAATTCCTCACTTTGAACTTTCAAAATCACGAAAGGTAGCCCTTTAGGGGATACCTTGAGTTTGACTTGCGCAGAAAGTGTCGGCGAGTCCGGGTCTAATGATTGATCATTCAATTCAACCCCCCCCCCCTCGAATTGATTTTTCAATACAGACCCCCCCCCCCC